ATGTAACTATATACATTTAATAGGGAACACTTGGAAGAGCTTGGTAGCTTCTAGCGGGAAGCTACCTTTGGTACTAATACAGTGACAAGAGGAGCTCGGTTTGTGCACCCGTTTTTGCTCCGTTTGCATGACAAGAGCGCACGGACTAAGACCAGACAGGTACGTAATAACTAGTGCAAAGGTAAGGTAAGAACATATGAGTCATATGTAAAACGGTTAACTATTCCTTTAGAAGAGCTTCAGAATTGACCTAAAATGTCCATGAGGCTGGAAGTCGCTCCGTGGAATAGCACCATCTTCAAACACACAAACATAAGAGCCAAAAAGACGTGAGGATCGAGAGATTGTCTGATCTCATCAGGTGGATACAAAGAAATAATATCGTTGCTCACGTTAACTGATTGGCGCTCGAGAGATGAACTTTAAAATATGATCTCAACGTTAGAGGTAGCAAAAAAGACTATCTTTAAAGCCTTTACTTGCATTTGTTTATATCCAGTGTCGGTCACATTACAAATCCTAGATGGAAACATTTACTGCAGTACAACAATTAACAAGTTAACAACGTTCTTTTAACTGAGTGCATTGTGTGTTTCTTCTACCTCTGGTCATAACCAGGGAAACAGACAAAACCATGTGTCGCCCTGATGCTTGTGTCCCCTGAGGTCTTTGGTCCCAGAGGTCTTGTGGCCCTGAGTCTTGGCCCTGAGTCTTGGGCCCTGAGGTCTTAGTGGCCCTGAGGTCTTGGGCCCGGAGGTCTTGGGCCCTGAGGTCTTGGTTCCTGAGGTCTTGGGCCCTGAGTTCTTGGGCCTCTGAGGTTCTTGGGCCCTGAGGTCTTGGCCCTGAGGTCTTGGCCCTGAGTCTTGGGTCCTGAGTCTTGGGTCCCTGAGGTCTTTGTGCCTGAGGTCTTGGTCCTGAGGAGTTCTTGGTTCTGATGTCTTTGGCCCTGGGTGCTGGAGTCCAGCAGTGAGTATTCTTCTGGACAAAAACATTGGATTTAGAGCAGTAAATGGTTTATTAAAAGTATATACATAACATTATGAGGACTTTGTGTGTAGTAAAGGTGATGTTGTTGTGAGTTTGACCTCGTATGTTAGCTTGTGGTCAGATGTACCTCTGATCTGTGTCTACAGAGCTCCAGGATCAATGGTTCTGTATGTTTTCTGGTGCGGGGTCCCACAAGCAGAGACAACATCCTAAACACTGGATCCTAAAGCATGGTACAGACCACTGTGATGAACTGAAGCACCATGAGCACATCAGCTCTCACTACAAGTCAAATGTCAAACAATATACACTTTATTTCCACAAAAGCACCTATTACTAAAATACACACGTTCCATGTTCATGACCATGAACCCTCTTTTCACATGTGATGTTCAAGGTTTAATCCCACTGGTGATTCTATGACTAATCCTGCTACTCTGTCCAGTCGTAAACTTTAAATATAAATGTAATCTAAAGTCAGATCAGTGTTAAGGCGAGATCAGACCAAACGCTCTCAAAAGCTTTGGACCTCGCTTACAGCTGACGCAGATAGTTTTGTCATTTTTGGTGCTTGAAGCATTTGACGCGAGTTCGCGGACCGCGCGCCTGACGCCGGTGGAAGGAGCTTCTCTGTTGTCAGTAGTCAGGCAGCGTATGGATTTTCAATGAGCAGCCGAGCCTTTATTTGTTAATAAAAGCAAAAAAACATTGTTGTAGGGCTTCAAACAAAACATGTTCTGTGGTCCCCATAGCCTTGAGATGGCAGCAGTGTCTTTGCAGAGTTCCGTCATTTAGCTCCAGGAGCTGCGTACGGAGGAGATTTCGCTTTCAGCGGAACTTCCGCATGTCCACACGCACCACATGTCTGTATTCTCAAACCCCGGAGCTCGCCTCTCCCGCCTCGCACTTCCGCGCCATCTCCCCGCCTCTCGCTCAGCGACCGCCTCTCCTCTGCCTCACCCCCGGCTCCGCATCGCCTCTCCCCGGCCTCGCTCTCAGCCCTCTCCCTGCCACGTCCCCGGACATCTCCGCTCTTTCTCCCTGCCTCTGATCTCCCCGACTCTCGCTCCTGACCGACTCATCGTCAGCCTGTTCTTATAATAAATAAACAACATTGACTACACAGCATGTGTTCAATGAATTTTGTTACTCCCAGAACGATACTACTCATAATCATATAGCAAATAATAGTTACAAATAACAATACTGACACCAAACAGCATGCAACAGATCACATGACTTCTTCATCATGAAGAGACAGACCCGCAGCTGCAGCAGCTGCCTCGTCCTCCTGATGGGTTGAAGCCCGCGTCACCGCTTCAACAAAGCTCAGCTTATCTCCCTATCGTCGTCAAAGGGATTGTTTTGATACGAGCGCGCGTTTCGCGTGTCAAAAAGACTTCAAGTGAGCGCAGTAGTACATTTAAGCTTTGAACGCGCGCCAAGATGACGCCGGTGCCTATCGGCTTCACCTAGACGCGCTTCACATTCACTTTCAATGCAAACCTGACGCTTTTGACGCCGAAGTACGTCCGGTGTTAACGCCCCTTTAGTGTTTCCTTTGTTCTCACTAGTGGGTTAGAAGAATGCCGACTTCAATGAAAGAACTCTGGTGTTCCACATAGACCTTCACTCTTCTAGGTAGCCCAGCACTGACACGTGACTGATCTGTGTGGAGCGAAAGACCAAGGTTACTCTGGTCCATGTTCAACCATCAACAGAACAGGAAAGAAATGTGTTATAATGCATTATACTATGGACTAAAGACAGGCATAGCGACACAAGAGAGAGACTAAGAGACGAGATAAGATACAGTAGGTACAAGATCGAGAGAGACCAATGAGACCAGGGAGAGAAACCATAAAACTTGTTATTTAATGAATTCTCAAGAAAACAACTGTACAGAGAAGATAGCTCCAAATAAACACTAATATTCCTTGTTATTAATATGAGAGAGGAATGAGTTCCACTGGGTGTCTCTCTCTTTGGTCTCTCTCTTTCTGCTGTCTCTCTTTCTCTCCTGGACTCTCTCTGGTCTAGTCCCAGAGTTAGTCCCAATCGTAAATGCATTAAAAAACACATTATCTTACCTTGTCTGTTGATGGGTTGAGAACAGGACCCAGAGTCACATGGTCTTTCTCTCCACACACAGAAGGAGCGCAAACATCACTAGCAAGATGACGTAAAAGAACGCCAATAAAGAAAAAAAATCCCCTCAAGTGTCCCAGTGCTCGAGTCCCTGATGAGTGACATGGTCTATGTGGAATCCACCAGAGTTTCATTCTTGAAGCGCTTCTTCCAAACCCACAGTGAGAACACAGGAAACACTAAAGGGCTTTCACACCGGGACTTAACTCGGCGTAAAGCGTCAGGTTTGCAGTTGAAAGTGAATGGTGAAGCGCGTAGGTGAAGCCGAGAGCCCCGGCGTCACTTGCGCGCGTCAAAGCTTCAAAAGTAACTACGAGCGCTCACTTGAAGCATTTGACACGCGAAACGCTCGCTATCAAAACATCCCATTGGACGCCGAAGCTGAGCAAAGCTGAGCTTTTTGAAAGCTTTGAACGCGGGCTTCAACCAATCAGGAGACAGAGCAGCAGCAGCAGCGGTCGTCACTGTCATGAAGAGAAGTCATTTATCTGTTGCTGCTGTTTAGTTTGTCATTAATGTTCTTATATAATATTATTTTGTTAATGAGTAGAACGTTCTGCAGAAACCAAAAATCATATGAACACATGCTGTGTGTAGTCCAAAGTCAGTTAATTTAATAAGAATCAGGGCTGACATGAGTCTGGCTCAGAGCAAGAGCTCGGGGAGAAGGCAGGGAGAAAAGAGCGAGATCGGGAGAGGCAGGGATAAGGCGAGAGCGAGGCGGGGCAGAGGCGAGCGAGATCTCTTGTACAGAGGCAGGAGAAGGCGAGCGAGAGGCGGGGAGATGCGAGAGCAGGCGGGAGAGGCAGCTCCAGGAGGTTTGAGAATCCTACTGGGCTTGTGACATGCGTGAAGTACCACTGACAGCGAAACTCCTCGCGTACGCAGCGCCAGAGAGTAAATGACGAGGAACTCTCGCAAACACTGCAGCCTCACAAGTCTGTGGTGAACCCAACATGTTTGTTGAAGCCCTACACAATGTTATTTTGCTTAATAAACACAAAAATGTCCTCGCTGCTCAATGAAAAAACCAAACGTCTGTCCTCTGACTAGCAGGACAGACAACCGAGAAGGCTCCTCCCACCGGCGTCAGGCGCGTCACTCGCGTCAAAAGCTTCAAGCACTCAATATGACCAAAACTATCTTGGCGTCAGCTGAAGCGCGTCAAAAAAAGCTTTTGAATGCTTTGGTCTGAACGCGCCTTAACACTGATCTGACTGTAGATTACATTTATATTAAAAGTTATACGACAGGACAGAGTGAAGGCTTAGCCATAGAATCACCAAGTGCGATTAAACAAGGAACATCACCTGTGAAAATAGGGTATCCTGGTCCATGACAAGGAACTTCGCTATTTTAGTAATGTGCATTTGTGAAATAAAAGTGATGATATTGTTCAACAAGTTGACGCTTGTAGTGAGAGCTGCAATGTGCTCATGGTGCTACATCACATCACAAGTGAGCCTGTACCATGCTTTAGGATCCCTGTTTCGGGCGGTGTTCTCTGCTGTGGGACCCCCAGCACCAGAAAACATACAGAACGCATTGATCCTGGAGCTCCTGAGATAACACAGATCCATAAGGTGAAACCATCTGACCACATGCTACACTACTAGGTTGCAAACACAAACACAACAAACAAGCCACTTTACTACACACAAAAGTCTCATCAATGTTATTTATATACTTTTAATAAACCATTACAGCGCTCATATCCATGTTTATGTCCAGAAAAACACACATGCAGTAGCTCCAGCCCCAGGGCCCAAGACCCAGGACCCAAGACCTCAGGACCCAAGACCCTCAGGAGCCCCAAGACCTCAGGCCCAAGACCTTCAGACCCAAGACCTCAGGCCCAAGACCTCATGGCCCTAGACCTCAGTGGCCCAAGACCTCAGAGACCCAAGACCTCAGGGCCCAATAACCTCAGGACCCAAGACCTCAGGGCCCCAAGACTCAGGGCCCAAAGACCTCAAGTTCCCAATGAGACCAAGGCCCAAGACCTCAGTGCCCAAACCTCAGGGCCCAAGACCTCAGGCCCAAGACCATCAGGGCCCAAGCCCTCTAGAGCGACACAAGGTTAGTCTATGTTTCCCAGTTTATGACATCAGGTAGAAACACACAATCCTCAGTTCCAAGAACTGTTGTTTACTTTGTCAATTGTTTTTACTGCAGTAAATGTTGTTTCCATCTAGGTTTATAATGTACCGTGCCACAGGATATAAAACAAAATGCAAGTAAAGGAAGCTTAAAAAGATAGTCTTCTTTTCTACCATCTAACTTGTTGAGATCATAAGTACCGTCAAATCTCGAGGAGCCACGCAGTTAAAGTAGCAACGATATTGTATCACCTTGAGCTCACAAACTCGCAACCGCACCGTCCGTCCTTTTTGTCTCTTATGTTTGTGTGTGTTTGAAGATGGTGGCAATCACACTGAGCGACATTCCAGCCTCCTGGACATTTATAGGTCCACAATTCTAAAGCCTTTAAAGGAAAAGTATCACCGATTTTTACATACTGACATATGTTCTTACCTACCTTTAGAACTAATTAATACGTACCTGTCTGTCCTTAGTCCGTGCCTCTGTCATGCAAACGGAGCAAAAAAGAACGGGAGCACAAAACCGTCAAGGCCATCCTTCTGACACTGTATAGAACCCCAATGAGCTTCCCGCTAGAAGCTACCAAACTCTATCCCAATGTTCCCAATTACATGTATATAGTTCGTGACGTGTTAACACTGCAAAGTATAGTAACAACAGAATGAAAACAGTCCCGATTTCAAATGCGGATAAATACGGGTACTATATGGTGCGGCGTAGTAATCTGAGGTGCCTAACGTCCGCGCACTAACTTCTCTCCGAGACTTTCTCACTCGCTCACTTCCGTCAATGAAGGCAGCGTGACTAGTAGTACACACAGTAGCAGGCGGAGAGAGAAGTCTCCGAGTAGAAGTGTTTGAGCGCTACGTCCTCCGCACTTAACTTCTCTCCGGAGTAGACTTCCTTAGAAACAATTCCTTTAACAACTATTACACAAATATAGTGGAGACGATATTCTAAGTCTCATTTAGATGTTTTTCTTTTCGTGGCTGGAGTGGCCCTGGGCCTGGCCATTGAGCAGTCTTCTGTGCCCACAGTGAGCCTGGTGCACGGAGCCCATGTGCTCGACACGACTCACTTGGAGGAGATCCGGAGTGTGGCTCAGGCCTACCTCCTCTCTGCATCACAAGGTAACCACGGTAACTACTGCATCTCCTCCCTGCATCACTCCCTTGGTCAGAGGTCACAATAAACTTATTTTGAATTGACTTCTACTCCTCACTTGAAAACAAATGATCCTTTCTACTCCTTACAGTTTGAAATGTATACAATGGTCCGTGGTTTATCGCTGGGTTACGTTCCAAAAATAAACCGCTGAAAGTGACTAGTAATGGCGAAAGTAGCTGCTGTATGTGCAAAAGGCTGATAAAGGCTCACCACACACTTTATACACAAACCTGTGTATTGTAGGTCTGAGCGCTGCTGCAGCTGTCAAAAGCCATGCATATACCAGGTTTACTTTTGAATGGGCTGGAAATGGCAGCAAGTGGCTCTGAAACAGTTGTTGTTTTTGTGCTTTACAATTGTTATTTTTATTTTCATAGTTTTGCTCTGGTGCAGACCAGAGCAGAGAGTATTCATGGTTTGAACCAAGCGGATCAGGCGAAAATCCACTGGAGGAATGCAAACTTTTTTTTAAATGATAACAAAGCTTTCAGCATTTTTCTTCGGACCAGAGCAGCGAAAATAGCCCGAACTAAGCGGTGCCACCTCTGCTGTGACCTGAAGGACTGTTGCTTATCATTACTTATACTATTGTCAGCTTTTTAGAATAATCAATTCATTTGTTTTTTTTTTTTTGTGTGGATGTGTGTGTTTTTGTTGCTACTTGACATCTGAATTTCTCCTACGGGGATCAATTAAGTATCTAACTACCTAACTACACTGAATAATACAGCTGCAGAGGACAGTGCTGATGGGCAGGAGCAGGGCTGAGGTAGTCGTCTGAACTAACCACTGCACTGTCATGTTATACTAGCAGTTATTCTGAAGTTGTAGGAGTATGCGGTGCATGAGAAGCACTCTGTAAAGAAGGAAACACACAAAAAATCTATGAAATAGTAAAAGGTGACGTGCGTTTAGGTGAGGGACCACTGTAGTTAGTTTTTAAAGCAATTTTGTGTGTCCAATGTAGTCCATGGACCAATGGTGGTTAGCCATTTCTAATTAAAACTCTACACATAGTGCTGTGCACGGTGATTCACAGACAACATGAATAGATACAGTATGTATTGTCTGTATATTATTGAGAAAGAAAATGTATTGTGCTTTTTCTCTAAATACTTATTTCAGTAAAATTGAGTATTTAGTAAACGTAATACCAAAACTGGGGTAAGAAGTTTAAAAATTTTAAAACTAGCCTCACGAAAAAAACACACACACAAACAGTTGTCAGATACATGTGTTTAATACTTGTGTTTCAATGTAATGAAATTCCTTTTTGTATACCTAACTCCTGCTGTTATTTATCTCTGAGGACTTTACAAAGTTGTTATTTGCCACACAATCATATTGTTCAAACACAGAACATGCAATAACTACAAACACATAGAGCCTCCGGTCCATTAGGGGCAGATGACCAATTTCTATCAATGTTAATAAGAGTTGAGAGTTGTGATTTCTGTGAGCATGTTGTTTTGTCTCTACAAGCACAAACTGTTCAAACATTGCGTAAATTAAAACCTCTTGACCCCCCACACTGACTGATGAACTGCAGTGTGTTTTAAAGCTAAAAGGGCCTTTCTGTGGTGTGTGTGTTTTCAGAGTGGTCTTTTCTGGACACGGGCTGGTCAGAGAGACAGCTGCGTCCCTGTCCCCGCCCTGGAGGCTCGCTCTCTGGGCTTTGGCGAGCATGTCATAGAAGAACGGCTCCAGAAGAAGAGCCCAACACTGGATGTCCTGCTGCAGGCCTCCCAGGGGACATGTGTAGGGGACATGTCCAACAGGACCGGGGCTGTCCCTCTTCTACAGCGCCTCAGGGCCCTATAGAGGCGCACATGAGGGTCTGCACAGAGGCCCCAGAGCCCAGGCCTGGGCCTCTGCAGGACTTCCTTCAAGGAGAATGGGAGACACTGAGACATGTGGTGTCCTCAGGGCTCTCCCCATGTCCCCACCCCCCTCAGAGGCTGAGCTGAAGGTCAGCTTTCTTTTGACATAATTCAATGATAAAGAATTGAAATGATACAGTTTAATGTAATCTGTAAACATCTAACTCTCTAAATACATTACCATGTATACCACGGGTCTCATTTTAGCTTGGGGCCGTACAAGGTCAAGTCTGGATTAACCTGGGCGGTAATTAAGGGGTACATTTATCACATGTTTGTGTGTGCCAAAAATATGAATATTGGAGAAAATGGATCTATGCATATACAGAGATAGAATGAAACCACAATAATTGCATGAGTACCGGTGGTCCATGAGCATGTGCGCTGACATGCTTGCAATCTCACTGCTAGCCGGTGGGGGTGGACCCGGAATAAGAATTACTCAATGCTTTTGTATGGCGCCTTCTTTTCTCCCAAAAGCGGATGGTCGGCTCTTGTTGGCTCTTGGCAAAAGCTACGTTCCAGATGAGAAGATTATTTTTTTGGACCAGTCTAGTTTAGCTGCTGAGAGCTAACACATGTGCAGATGCGTTTTTTCACATTCCTGCCCCGCAGCCATTTTGAAAGAGCCCACAGAAGGCAAAAAGTGGTGGCACATTAGTTTCAACGGCGGAGATAGCCGTGACTACATCCGTTAATATTCACAGTCTATGCTTTACACACACGATTTACCGCCAGGATTGACAAGTATACCCCTATGTCTCAATCAGACCAATCTTCTCATTCATTAACTATAGAGTAGAGAAAGTAAATGTTTATGCTTGTAGAACAGAGAGGGCAGGAAGAGTCAGCTTTAAACCTGGTTAAGTTCTTGTTGGTTTAGTCCTGAACTAAACCAGGGCTGAACCAGGATTGATAATGGCGGACACATATGCCTTCACCCGAGTTGACATTCTACTGTGACTGGATACAAGTGCAGCTAACGTGATAAGGAAGTACCAGTTAATTCTGCATCAAAGCCCATCCACTTCCAGCACTGCGTTTTGCCGCATCACAGCGCGTCATAAAAGCCTTCAGCTAGTTTGATTTCTCCAAACACAACAAACATAAAGTCATCTTGGAAGAGTCAGTTTAAAACATTTATATGGAACTGTGTGTTTTAAATAGTGCCATGTGGTGATTGAAACCCTTCATGTGCAGCACTTGGAGAGGAGAGTGGAGCTGCTGACCTCTTACCTGTGGCAGTGTGAGAGTCTGCAGCCACAGGCCCTCAGCCTCTCGGCTCTCTCCAGACCACAGGGCTTCCTGCTCAGCCTGAGGAGACATTATAGCCAGGCCCAGGGCACCCAGCTCTCAGCCACACTTCACTGCTGTTCCAGGTACCAGCCTGATCTTATGAAAGGATTAGAAAAGCTCATGAATATGACACCACATGACTACAACCATTTACTACTTACTGTAGAGGAATGACGTGGATATCACACACACAACTGGGGGGTTACGTCTTATAGGATTAGTGTTTGCTTATTTTGTCTGGTTAGAAAATATATAAAATCTGGTTTTATCTGGTGTGCTGATTTAGGTTCTGTTTCTAACTACAATGAAACACAAAAACTTGCGTTGTCAAATTATTGGCCTGTTTTGTTACTGGTCAAGGTAAATGAATGAAAGCGGCACTAACTGACAGCTTGGGATTTGAAGCCGCGGACCCACTGGGCCCTCTCATCTCTCTGCTCCCCTCCCCGCACCTACGAAGCTATCGCCCCACATACACACACTCCCCACTGTTGGTCGGAGGCTAGCGTGTTCTCTCCACAATATATGGATTATACATGGATACGGGCCTTTCCTTTGCACGTGGATGCAAGCGTGACCAACTAGAACGCTTAGAACCGGGAAGTCGCGGCAGGAACGCGGACTTTCGTTTTGGTATGGGCTGTCTCGCCGGTGTAAGCAGAGTAACCGTGACGCAGCACGACCGGATAGCTTCAGGTTAGCTCTCTCGGCTGGTAGTGCCTAACCAGCTGTCTATGCTAACAGGGACCTGGAGATATTCTCAGACGATAAAGTGGGGCGCCAGTGGTCCACTGTGATTGGTCACAATCTGCAACCCGAAACACATTCTCTTCCTTGTTTCATCAAAACTCGATCTAAAATATAATGTCACGCCAGCACAAATCTGCGCTACTTTTTCTTCAAAATGATGTATATCCCAATGCACTACATGGACATGGATAGCATTTTCGTAATGAATACAAAAATAAAGTCAGTTAGTGCAGCTTTAATCCCTGTCTAGTTTCCTCTAATCCAAGTTTGTTGTTGGAAGCACTGTGCAATAAGCCAAAAGAGAGAAATGTTTATGCGTCAGCAGGCAATTATTGCAGATCACAAATAAAGTTACGTGGCCACAGGGTTTAACCAAGTAGTCTTCCTCCGTCTTAGCTGCTAACCCAGTGTGTGTACTAAAGCCTAGCGTACATCGGACTGGCAACTGATTATATCCGTCCCCTCTGAGTTGCTGCCCCGCACACATCGACAATCTGACGAAAACGGGCAACTCCCAGTCGCAGACCAGTCTCGGGAATAACAGCGCGTACATCGACAGCAACTGGCCTCAACTACAGTGTGTTTTCTGACATAAACTGTTGCGGGCTCGCAATACACGCAATACACACACGTTGTCGGAGCGGCGCATGGAGCGCGCACATCGGGTCATATCTCCGAAACTGAGGACAACTAGTTGCCGAAAAGTAGAACACGGGCAACTGACTGAAACTGGAGACCGACTGATCATCTCCAGTTGTAAGAGCGCGCACATCGACCGATTTCAACTGATCATCTCCATCATCTCCTCTCAGTTGCCAAAAGCCCGCCTTGCAACTAGTTGTCCCCAGTTTCTCTGTCGATGTACGCTAGGCTTAACAGATATAGGTGCTGGCCCCTGGGGCGGCCCTACCCCGAATCTTCATCAGCAGCTTCTCACGCTGAAAAATGTCTTCCTTTCTAATGTCCCTGTTCTACACAGTAGCAACACCATGTCTATGGAAGATGTTATATTTCTGCTCAGCTGTTACAAAACAATACAATTTATTCTTGTATAGCCCAAAATCACAACACAGAAGTCATCTCAGAGGAAAGAGAACCATTGAAATCACCAACACAGATCAGAGAATCAACATTTAAGACACAGAAAATACACTTTGACCAATGTCTATGAATGTTGTAGCATGTTAAAGTGTCCTGGATCATCACCACAGTCCTTCTTGTTTGACACTAACTGTCCAACAGACCCTCCTGCATCGGCAAGGAAAAACTCACAAAAACCCAGTGTTCTTCCCACAAAGTGACTATTGTTAAACAAATATGTCTTGATGTATCAAAATAGAGATTCAAAGTTGTCTTACTGTATGCATGTGTGTGCCAAATATCCTGACTTAAAGTTTATCGCAGTTTTTTGGGAACAGTCTGAAACTGTCGCTGTAGGAGCACGTTTGTTTAATGCACTTTGTGTGTGGATGTGCACGAGAGGCCACACACAGTGGCTAAAAGACCTCCTCTCCATTAAGCAAGTGCACACGCCACAGGGTTTAGCTCAGGCAAGAATGACCACCACCGAGTTACATGCTATAAGGACTGTTGCTTTTCACTCACAGCTAACTTCTATCCACACAAAGCCTAAGCTCAACACAACTTCAGAAATCACTTTCATGGATTGTAATTTGGCCTCATATTCCTAGTGATTTCATCTTTTTATTCTTGACAATTTGCATGTTTTACCTCAGAACTGTTTTGAACATATCTTAATTAAATTTGTCTGGAAAGATATTTAAACTGACTAACTTCAGAAATAATGTCAATGTCAAGTAGAAGAATGTTTCACTTTCATGTTTCATAGAAGGAAATGGCACCTATAACAAATTAACCATTTTTTGAGTCATTGAATGAATAACTTGACACATATGCATGATATTGTTATTTACTTACCGGTTTTGCAAATTCAAGTATTTATTATAAAGTTGAGCTTGATCTCCACTTATACTAATCAAGACATTCTCAGTAGAGAATATCTTGAGGTGTGCTGTGAGTTTGAAAGCACTGACATTGACATGAAGTGTAACATTTGGTTGTTTTTGTGTTTGTCATTAGCTCGTTGCTGATCCAGACTCACAGCCGCGCCCTCCATACTCTGTGTACATTTGTGGTCTGGAGCTGAGAGGAGCTGTGTGGGACCCGGAGCATGGGGTCATCCGGGACAGCCCGTGTGCAGGCAGCCCACTCCCACTGCTGTGCATCAGCCCCAGGCCCATAACTGCAGATGCTCCAGGCCCCGGGGCCCCTCTCATCTACTTCTGTCCACTGTATGTGGAGGAGGAGCTTGTGGCTTGGGTCCCTCTGTCATCCAGACTGGAGCCCCAGACATGCTCTCTGAGGCGGGTCCGAATAGTCAGTCAGCTCTGAGTCCACACAGCTATCTAAACTCACATTTATTTATTCAAACTATTTTTGGTATTTATGAATTTATTTGTAAAGCACTCATCTCAATCACCGCTGGATTGTTGGAGGAAAAATGTTTTCGACTTCTGGTTTCTGACCTGCCCCTGTATATGTATTTTCTCTCCACGCACTGAAAGAGCAGCACAACCCCAACTGCTCTGTGAATAATCTGTTCTACCATCGTCATGTTGTCTTTTTTTGTGTGTGGTAATTTGCTGTCTTTTAGCATTTAAAACCATATCACGAACCCGGCTTTGAGCGACAGGACTAAGAACAGACTGACTTATAAAATAAAAATACAAAAAAAAATATATTCTGGTCTATTGGTTGTTCCACCTATTGATAAATACATTTATAATATTTATAAGACACACAATAAATAGTTTAATCCCAACCGGTGCAATTGGGTTTTTTATTTGACATGGACAGTACAATTTAGCATTGCTATCTTCTCTGGTTAAAGACGCTATACCCAATTTTTTTTAATGAATTCATAAAAATGCTTATTACTACATACACATTGTATTATAATCCATAATTTAATTGAAAACTCATTGATTCAGCTTGTGTGTGAATTCAGGCCGTGAAAAATGCTGAGTAGAGACTTGGCTTGACTCCTGCTCTCCTCCAATCACAGAACAAAGCTGCGTCCTCTAGCCTCTACAGCGCTGCTAAACACAGTACACAGCAAAACCGGCCAAACAATGCAACAGTGATAGCCTGGCCTTAAAGTGGTTCTCACCCCCGCTCCTCGGAGCTTACGTTACTCACATTTCCTGTTCAAATCTTCCTCTAAATGGGCGTAGCCTGGAGGACTAAAGGGGGCGTGAACGAGACAGGGCCGTTTATATAGCTCTGGGCGGGGGGCTGCTGACGTCAGGTCTTGCTTCAGACTTCAGGTCTGGCTGCCGCGCCAGTGTTGGCGCCAGATTCAAAATTCAAATGTAGTAATACAGGTCGCCAGCAGATGGCGCCTCTGACGGTTTTAGGCAGAAAGTTTAACTTTCAACTAATTTGCACCAAAGTGACAACATTATGACCAGGATATGTAGACAACACTATTGGACACTCATTTATACAGTTTATCAGCAAAAAAAAAGTGGATTTGAGGGTGAGTTGTCCTTTAACCATTTGTACACTCCGTTCAATCATCATTCTACTGCATGTAACGTCTGGGTCTGGTCCCTGTGTCAGCGAATACAATCGGTTGAATTTCGACCGACCATTCAGAGAGCGCGGAAGGCAGGTGTTGTAGAATTCAGGCCGTGAATTCACTTCCACAGGAAGCACTTCCTGCTTCCTGCTTCTCGAGAGAGCGGTCGTGTCTCTCTGCTCTGCTTTTGCTTCGCCTTTTAATCTCCCTGAATCATTTTATTTACATTTTTTGTTTCTCCTTTAATCATTTTATTTACAAAACGAGGATTACTCCTTCTACACACTTCAGCTTTGTGGAATTTATCAACATTAGTCATGTCGGGACGGAAGAGACGGAGAAGCGTCTGCGGTGGCTGTTGTGCTTTGGAAAATCAGCTTAAATCTCTTCAAACACGGATATCTATTGTGGAAACAGAAATGGGACTTAACCCGACTCTTCCAATGAGTGAAAATGGGATGAATGGACAGACTGGAAATGTAAGTTATGACGTCATTTCTTTTCCCAAAATCAACAATGAGAATTATTGGAACAATTGTGGAGCCAAACCCAAAGTTGACAAAGCTAAGAATGACAATAGGAGTGAAATAAGGCCACAACTAAATGTTCTGAAGACTTCAAACCGCTTTTTACCCCTTTCTGAAACAACAAAGCTGCTAAAAACTGCAGCGCCTCCACCAAGGACAAACTGTATCCTTATCGGAGATGGCTCGGTGAAAAATGTAAACATGGAGTCCATGCTCACTGTCTCAGTTCCCTCTGCTAAAGTTGCTGAGATAAGAACTCTTCTGCCTAAAGTGTTATCTGAGAACAGTGGTGTGTGTACATTATTGATCCACACGGGGGCGGTAGATATCTATGAGAAGGCAAGCGAGAAGTTACGAATGGATTTAACGCTGTTACTGGATGACCTCAAGAAAATGGACATAACAATTTTTCTTAGTGGCCCACTGCCAAATATAGATGGAAAAATGGAGAAGTTTAGCCGTCTGTATCAGCTAAATACATTTCTACTCAATGAGTGTTCACGCAGAGGACTTGGCTTCATTGAAAACTTTAATCTGTTCTGGAATAGGCACGAGCTTTTTGAAGAAAAAGGCCCACATCTGAACAACTACGGAGTAAAAGTGCTGATGGATAACTTTGCATCTGCCCTAAGACCTCAGCCTGCGCAGCGCGTGCAGCCGTTGAAAGGGAGAAAGAAGAAGCAAAGGGCACAGACATCACTACCATCTCCACCGACTCCCGAGGTCTCTGCACCCCCACCGCCTCAAAAGAACTCCACACCTCCACGATTCAAGAAGAACTCAACACCTCCAAGGTTCCAAAAGAACTCAACACCTCCACGGCTTCGAAAGAGCTCAACGCCTCCACCCCCAGCATCATCAGCAGCTGCCACATCTTCATCAGCGCCATCAGCATATACAGCACCACCAGCAGCAGTGGATACAGCCGCAGCAGTGGCTGTTCCATCATCTTCAGCAGCAGCAGTGGATACAGCAGCAGCAGTGGCTGCTCCATCATCTTCAGCAGCAGCAGTGGATACAGCCGCAGCAGTGGCTGCTCCATCATCTTCAGCAGCAGCAGTGGCTGCTCCATCATCTTCAGCAGCAGCAGTGGATACAGCAGCAGCAGTGGCTGCTCCATCATCTTCAGCAGCACCTTCCCCACCTACAGCTCCCGTGAAGCTTCCCCCATTACTCCAGGCTACAGTCAGGCCTGTACTGGGGGTTCCTCAACCACCTCTGTCTCCACCAAAGACTCCCTCATCACCTTCCATGGACCCGGCTTGGGTCCCCCCCGCTACATCCACTCCATCTAGGGAAAATGAGGACGACCTTTCCCTTTGTTTTCTATCCCCGCCTTCACTACTGGATTTACCGGAACACTCTGCAGGCATGATAAGATCGGCGATGAAGACTATTCCTCTCACACCCACTGTAGCCAGATCAAGAGTCCTATCTAACATTCAAAACTACTCCCCATACGTACCTCCAAAGCCACCTAGGGCGTCCAACTCAAATTCTCCCACAAAATCCACCCGTCCCTCCTCTAACCCCATAAGTATTCCACCCCCCCCTCCTGCTCATTTAGCCCCCCCCCCCCCCCCTAACTCAGCACCAAGAAACCCTCCACCTCCACTCCCCCCTCGTCCACCACCCAACTCAGCCTGCCCCTCCCCTAACCCATCACCAAAAACCCATCCACCTTCAACCCCTCCCCGTCCAACTCCCAAGAACCACCCGCCTCTCCATCCTCCTCCCCCGCCTTCCCCTACCCCTCTTTTCTCTAAACACTAGGATGCACAGGGTCTCTGCTTCGCAGCCACTGGCAGTCTAGTTAGAGGAGAGACCCGGCTGGGGCCCTGTCGTGAAGCCACCTGTGCCATTCCCTTAGTGATAACACAAAGAATACATAACAGAAAAACATCTGGAGTTAATCAGTCTAATCAGGAAAATCTAATTCTTGTTCCGTGTAAGAATCAGCCGACCACAACCGCTGATCCTGAAACTTTGAAACTTGCTATGCTAAATGTCAGATCTCTTTGTAACAAGTCTTTTTTAATCAATAATTTTATTTGTTCTTATAATCTAGATCTTATGTTCATGGCTGAAACATGGCTTGACCAAAATACAGAAAATGCAGTTTTAATAGAAGCATCACCACCAAATTTCAAATTTGAATCTGAAATACGGGAAAACAAAAAAGGAGGAGGCTTAGCTGCCATTTTCAGAGACCACTTTGTCTCCCATAGAATGTCTCTTGGGAAGTTTCCGTCTTTTGAATATGTGTCTTTTAAAATACAACAAAAACAATCTCCTCCAATACTTTTCGTTGTCCTATACAAGCCACCGCAGTCATGTCACAGTTTTATTGATAATTTTACAGAGTTGCTTTCAGTTGTATGCACAGATTTTGATAGTTTAGTTATTACAGGTGATTTTAATATTCATGTGGATAATGTTGATGACAGAAATGCTAAAGAGCTGAGTTCTCTTCTTGAATCTTTTGGTCTCACTCAGCATGTGAGTGGCCCCACCCACAGCAAAGGGCACACTCTAGACCTGTTAGTTACAAAGGGGGCGAACATATATAATGTAAACGTGGTCGATGTTGCGCTTTCGGATCATTTTTGTATATTTTTTGACATGTGTTTCACTAACAAACCACCAGTGGACTCTGCAACTGTACGAAGAAGACACATAAATGAAAATACGGGTGAACTATTTATGGGAATGATAAACTTTGAGAATGCATCGTATTCTACTGTAGATGAACTGTTTAACTCTGTCACCTCTAGTGTTTTGAAAGTTCTGGACACCATCGCTCCTGTGAAGGTTAAAATAGTGAAAAATAAGCAGAAGGCGCCGTGGGCTAAAGCAGACTCGGTCAGAGCACAAAAGAGAGAGTGCCGGAGGGCCGAGCGGAAGTGGCGCAAGTCCAACCTCCAGGTTGATTACAAGATCTTCAAAGATAAGTTGTGCGAGTTTAACCAGGTGCTACGTAGTACAAGAGAAAGGTATTTTTCTGAAATGATTGAAGGCTGCAGCAACAATCTGCGTGTTCTGTTTTCAACAGTTAATAGATTAACAAACCCCCCTGTTCAAATGCCATTAGAGCTAACTTCCAAACGTAAATGTAATGAGTTTGCACATTTTTTCAATGACAAGGTTCAAGGCATCAAAAACGCCATTGTCTCCAATCCACAGATAACAATCCAACAGCCAGAAAGGCTCTTTGAGCTAACTTACTTTGCACCTGTAAATGATCAAACTGTCCAAGAGATAATCTCCAGTTTGAGCTCCTCCACATGCAGCCTGGATGTACTACCCACTAGATTTCTAAAGTCTGTTCTGAGCAGTCTGTTACCTTCACTCACACAGATAGTAAACATGTCCCTTGATTCTGGAATATTCCCAAAGGCCCTGAAAACTGCAGTCATCAGGCCCCTGCTAAAAAAGAGCAGTCTGGATGCTACGGTACTTAACAACTATCGTCCCATCTCAAATCTGCCATTTATGGGGAAAGTCCTTGAGAAAGTTGTCTACCTACAGCTTACTAGATTTCTTATAATCAACAACTCATTTGATATGTTTCAGTCCGGCTTTAGACCCCACCACAGCACTGAGACTGCTCTCGTTAAGGTTACAAACGATATCCGGCTGAACACTGACGCAGGCAAAGTCTCAATCCTAATCCTGTTAGATCTAAGTGCTGCCTTTGATACTGTCGACCATGAGATCCTCTTACAGAGACTAGAGGACTGGGTTGGCGTCGCTGGCACCGCCCTAAGTTGGTTTAGGTCTTACCTTGAAGACAGGAAGTACTTTGTGGAGATTGGAAACTGTGTCTCAGATCATATGGCCCTGACCTGTGGAGTACCACAGGGGTCGATCCTGGGACCTCTTCTGTTCAATCTCTACATGCTGCCGTTAGGTCAGTTAATACGCAGAAACAAAGTTTCCTATCATAACTATGCAGACGACACTCAGATCTATGTCTCACTGACTGCAGGAGAACATGGACCAGTGGACTCACTCCTTCACTGTATCCAACAGATCAGTGAGTGGATGCAAAACAACTTCCTTCAGCTAAACGCAGACAAAACTGAAATGATTGTCTTTGGTCCCCAGAAACAAAGAGAGAGCGTCATCTGTCACCTACAGTCTCTCTCCCTAAAACCTTCTAACAAGGTCAGAAATCTAGGGGTAATACTGGACTCAGACTTAAATTTTAATAGCCACATCAAATCAGTAACATCAGCAGCTTTTTACCATCTAAAAAACATTGCCAGGATCAAAAACATAGTGTCTAAAGCAGACTTGGAGATTCTTATCCATGCATTTGTCTCCAGTAGGTTAGACTACTGCAATGGCCTGCTCACAGGTCTGTCCAAACAGGCTGTAAAACAGCTGCAGTACATTCAAAATGCAGCAGCTCGAGTCCTGACTAGAACCAGGAAGTACGACCACATTAGTCCGGTCCTCAGGTCCCTGCACTGGCTTCCTGTGGCTCAGAGAATAGACTTTAAAACAGCTCTGCTTGTGTACAAATCTCTCCATGGCCTCGCACCAAAATATATTAGTGACATGTTAGTCCCATATGAACCAGCCCGGACTCTGAGGAGCACAGGGACTGGACTCCTGTTAGTGCCCAGAGTCAGAACTAAACATGGGGAGGCTGCTTTTCAGATTCATGCTGCTAAAATCTGGAACAATCTTCCTGAAGATGTGAGACAGGCCTCCTCTCTGACAATGTTTAAAACCAGGTTAAAAACGGTGCTGTTTAGCTGTGCATACAACTGAGGGATTTTATATTTTTATCTTTCGTTTTAATGTTCTGTAATTATTTATGATTTTAATGCTATCTTGTTCAGCACTTTGAGTTGCCTTGTGTATGAATTGTGCTATACAAATAAACTTGCCTTGCCTTGCCTTGCCTTGCCTAGTTAGTTTTGGTTGGTAATGGCAAAAAATGCGATAGTAAAGTAATCCAGTCTGGTTCTATCAAGAAATTGAAGCCAGAGCAAGAGTAATGTTTAGCAAATGTAATCGCTGGAAAAATTGTGGCCCTACTCCCCACGGGCTCCGTTAGCAGCAAAGAAGATGGCTAGGCTAAATGCTAACGACAGACTTGGGCGCACTACATACGTGACGTAGTTTCTGAGTTTACCGTGACGGTAAACTCAGATCCAATCGTTTCAATCTGAAAAAGCAGTTAACCCCTCCCACCTGTTCACGGAGCTCAATGGGGCACCTCCAGACCTTAGAATGAAATGTAATTTGTACTATGGTGTGGTACGACCAGGCTACTACAGTGAGGAAGAGAAGAGGGAACTAATGCGAAAAAATGATCAAAGAAGAAATCAAGCCTGGGTGAACATTGCTAACTTACATTGTGTCCTCTGTAGAGACTTGTCTATGGGACAGACCTGCGGGATCGATGCGGAACTAGCGGTAATCTTTCAGTTATATATTTTGTTAGCAGTGCGTTGCTTTTGTACCATTTCATCAGTGATTGTTGTACACCTTGCACGCATGCTAACTCATGCTAATCAGATCGCAAATAAAACTAGATGTGGAATGAGAGTGTACAGGAAAGGAGAAGCATCAGAGAGTTGAGGGGCGGTGATAAACAGTCAAACCTTGCAGAAAAGGGTATAGATCCTTTAAGCTTTAAGAACAGTTAAATACATAGCCATGTCTTAATACAATTTCTAACACATTTGTTCTGCCAATGTTTTTTCAGCCGAATTATTGAAAAGTCTGATGTTCCACAGATTTAATCAAATACTACAAGCTCCTGTCTAATATTTGAAATATTCAGTTAATGACTGGAATCATTTAAAACAAAAGGTTTCGATCACAAGCCTTAAAGTAGAAGTGGAGACCTTTGTGACATGTGCTTTTAACTGCACCACTGTACTGGAACAGAGTGGGGCGTTGGTGGGATGGTGCTATTACAGGTAGAACGGGCAGGTGTGAGGATGTGTACAGTAAGGTATATTATTTATTTTAAACATTAAGTGTACAAATAAAGTGTTTTTTCTCTAAGTGTGACATGTTCATTAATAGAGTGGTTCCAACTGAACTGAGGTGGTGCAGGACTCTCTGCCCCAGTGACAGTTCCAACTACTCATTTCACTAAAAGTTAAGAAGGATATCTTTAGGATTGCATTAAATTAAACTTCTCATTTGCCTTACTTTTCAAGTATCTAATAGGATTTGAGCAGCAGATGGCATCACAACTATGTGGATACAGTAAACAAAGGCCAAGCTTCGTCTCAAACAATCAGCAGAAAAAAAAAAAAAGAGACAAAACCTAGTCTCTTATTGGATGTTTGAGTCTTGTGCCATAAGGGTCTAACCACCGATTCTGATCAGTAAGAAAGTCCTCACTTTTATAAAATAGCCCATCACAGACACTAGCAGCGAGTTTCAGGCTGCTGGCTGCGCCTCCAGTAGTTCATCATGAGCTGAGCGCCGGTGGTGGTGGTGGCGACGACTCGAGACAGAGCGCAGGGACTGAGTGGATGGGGCTGGTTCACCAGGAACATGTCTTGGGCTGGGGGGTTGGTGGGGGAGATCTGCAGCCGCTTCAGGCACATGCCAAGATAGGCGTCCTCAATGAAGATGGGCTTGATCTCCCTGGACACGGACAGAATCTTGTGAGGCAGGTCCAGGGACATGATATAAGTCATACCCAGTGGGTAGGGGGGGTACTCTTCCTCTGCGATGACCTCACGGGGCATGTAGAACTTGTCCCACGGGTTGCGGAGGACCGGGCTGTGCCACCACACCAGGCCGCTCATGTAATTGTTCTTGGGGGTGTCCGGCTGCAGCAGTAGGTCCACCAGGTTGGGCACGTGGAGGAACATGTCCGAGTCCACTTTGACCACATATGTCTGCAAAGGAGAGTTTAAAGTTTAAAAACTGTAAACCGGTCAAAAACCTGGATTTGAACATTGTCAGAGAAGATGTCTGTCTCACATTTTCAGGAAGACTGTTCCAGATTATAAGTAAGTAAGGTTTATTGATAAAGCACCTTTCACAGACCAGGATCACAAAGAACTTCACAATTAAAAACATACAGTAGAAATAGTACACTAGGGTCAGTCTCTGAGCCACAGGAAGCCAGCGCGGAGACCTGAGGACTGGACTAATGTGGTCGTACTTCCTGGTTCTAGTCAGGACTCGAGCTGCTGCATTTTGAATGTACTGCAGCTGTTTTACAGCTTGTTACAGTAGTCTGACAAACTGGAGACTAAACTACCGATAAGAATCTCCAAGTCTGCGTTAAATACTATGTTTCTGATTCAAGCATCAGCAACAATAGTCACTCAAAAGGCCAAAAAAATGACAGCCCTTGTACTAAATTTTTTACCGTTTTAGGTTTTTGGGCCAACCATTTTTCATATTTGAGTGTATTTTGAGAGCTTTGTTGCTTGATAAAAATCTTACGGAAATATTTTATACAAGTTTTATTTACAAGCAGTTGTAAATGGCAAATGCACTTTGACATTGTAGATTATGTTTTTGATTTGCCATAATATTTACACTTTATGTTTATCATGAATGTACAGAGAAATCTAATCTTCATCAGCGGCCCCTAAGCATATATTACACACATAATACATTATATGACAATTCTATATTGCCTCAGCAAGAAGGTCCTGGGTTAAAATCCTAATCGGAACAGGGCCTTTCTGAGTGGAGTTTGCATGTTCTCCCTGTGTCTGCGTAGGTTTCCTCTACACCTAAATACATGCACAATAAGTATGAATGTAAGTGAGAGTGAAAGGCTTTGTTGCGCCAGTGTGTTCAGCGTCCCGCTTCAGCAATCACTGTGTGTGGAGTGAATGAAGCAACTCTGAACATTGTCATGCGCTTTGGGTGACCTTTATGTAGCAAGATGACTTACTAACAATAGCAGTCAGTTTCAGTTTGATCAGACTTTGCTTCCGTTCATACAGTTTAGTGTACAGTTTCATGTGTAGTTTCAAATAAGAGTGTAGGACGTTCCTTTTTAGGGAGAGACTTATTTTCCATACCAGCACAATAACTCACGGAGACTTCAATGTATGCAGATATAAAAAAAGCTATCTACATTGAAGACATTTATAAAAAGATGTTTACTATTTTCAAACCTCTACAGCAGGTCCTTAGTTGGTCACTTTCTCCTTGCTGATCCTCTAACTTCCTTGGACTTAAAACTTGACCCTTATGAGACAGACTAGGTTATATTTGACACATTTCTGTTAATGTCAAAAGATGATTTTAGCCTAAATAAGAGGAGGGTGCACAATAAGGATATTTAAAAATTATAATCATATATAGTCACCTTTTTTTTTTTTGTCTTGCCATGTGGTATCAGGAGTGTGGCATGTTGATCGGTGGGTAGCAGAGATTCTCTACATTCAAGGCTAGGCCAATCAGAGCCATCCCCTTAACTCGTTTTTTCCCCCGCCAGAGAAGCACCATGAGCTCCAGACTCCTCTGAGGTGCTCCAAGGACAGGCTCAAAAACTCTTTTGTCCCCAACGCCATCAGGCTCTATAACAAAGCCACTTCAGGGAGGAGCAGGGGGGGGGAGGGAGGGTGGGGTCTTGAGAATTGTCTTGCAGTGCCTTAACTTCTATCTTTTATTGATTAATGTATTTTATTGCCATTTTTAATTATGTATTTATCTTTTATTCTATGTTTGTATGATTTTGAGCATAGTAGCCAATGCAAAAAATTTCCTTTGGATCAATAAAGTTATATATATATATATATATATATATATATATATATATATATATATATATATCAAGGCCTAAAACACTTCTAATTCATTCAGCAAATGCTAGGTAAATAAGAATAGCTCATACTAATGTTTGCATATATCTCAGATCGCAAATGAAACTGGATGGCTTCGTGGGAGGAGAGCGTAGGGGAAATGAGAAGCCTGTGAGTGAGTGGGGCGGCGGTGCTAAACATTCAAACTGAAAAACCCCCGCAGAAACAGGTATAGCTCCTTTAAGAAAAAAAAAAATGCTTTGGTCAATGTGATTCCAGTAATGTGCAGCAAGACTAAAAATGTTCATTTCAACAATAGGAAAATGCTTTAACAATAAAACATTTTAATGATTGTTTTAACAGTCAGTGCTAGCAAAGGTGCTATACTCTGCGTGATGGTGAGTTTTCAGATGTTCAGATCAAGTTGCTGGTGTCATACGTGTTTGTTTTGGACCCATCTTGTGACAGTCTTGCCTTTTACACAACGTACAGTCCTCTTGTCACTCTAGTTTACTTTAAAACACTGCCATATGGCCGACATCCTGTCCGCTTGGCGCTAAGCTAAGAGTGAAACTCATGTAAATTAAAATTGTGGGAATCGGTTGTCCACATGGTATTGACCCAATACCAGGATTGGTATCGGTGCCTCCCTGGTGCATTTGGACACTTGATCACAATCCTCTCCTCTTCCCACTTTATCTGTCAGATCTGTTGTGCTTTAGGTCAATACACAGATACATTGAATTAAATAGTAGTAAGAGTAGCAGCCTGTGGACATACCGCGGAGGAGGAGCAGTGAGCAGCCAGCCACTCCAGCATCACCATGGTCTTGATGGTGAGGTTGCGGTAGGAATCGATGAAGTTGCTCTGCACCAGGTCGTGGTACTGCTGGCTCTCCTGTTGCAGCTTCAGCTGAACAGTGTGGGCCCCCAGACTGCTGTCCACCCCAACCAAGAAAAGGCTCCGTACCAGACGGCCCCGCACTTCTGCCTGCCTGCCCCAAGAGCTGCGGATCAGATTCCTGCCAACAAGCACCCAGACAGAACACCCAACTGAGATTATATGAGTGACAATCCTTGACATTGCATTTCTAGAGCTGAACAAACGTAAAAAACATCAGCAATTTGTCAGATACACATTGGAATGATGGTTAGACTTAAGAGAAAAAAAAAAAAAGCATGGTCTCGATGGAAAGTGGGGTTCACACGTACTCGACACTTTGTAAGAAACCAGGTGAAATGAAAATCAGCCGATTTTCAGAATCAACAGAGCAATATCAGCAATATCAGAACCCTACAGAGAAACGGACACATTTTACCACTTAATATTGACCCAAACCATTCACTAAAAATTTTAGTGAATGGTTTGTTTTTGACAACATTTAAAAATGAAGCCTTTGGGATATTCTGAATACAAACACTAACTCGGGGGAGAGGCGAGCGAGAGGCGGGGAGAGGCGAGCGAGAGGCGGGGAGAGGCGAGCGAGAGGCGGGGAGAGGCAGGGAGAGGCGAGCGAGAGGCGGGGAGAGGCAGGGAGAGGCGAGCGAGAGGCGGGGAGAGGCAGGGAGAGGCGAGCGAGAGGCGGGGAGAGGCAGGGAGAGGCGAGCGAGAGGCGGGGAGAGGCAGGGAGAGGCGAGCGAGAGGCGGGGAGAGGCGAGCGAGAGGCGGGGAGAGGCAGGGAGAGGCGAGCGAGAGGCGGGGAGAGGCGAGCGAGAGGCGGCGAGAGCGAGAGGGCGAGGCGAGAGGCGAGCGAGAGGCGAGCGAGAGGCGGGGGAGAGGCGAGCGAGAGGCGGGGAGAGGCGAGCGAGAGGCAGGAGAGGCGAGCGAGAGGCGAGCGAGAGGCGGGGAGAGGCGAGCGAGAGGCGGGGAGAGGCGAGCGAGAGGCAGGGAGAGGCGAGCGAGAGGCAGGGAGAGGCGAGCGAGAGGCGGAGAGGGAGAGGCGACGAGAGGCAGGGAGAGGCAGGGAGAGGCGAGCGAGAGGCAGGGAGAGGCGAGCGAGAGGCAGGGAGAGGCGAGCGAGAGGCAGGGAGAGGCGAGCGAGAGGCAGGGAGAGGCGAGCGAGAGGCAGGGAGAGGCGAGCGAGAGGCGGGGAGAGGCGAGCGAGAGGCGGGGAGGCGAGCGAGAGGCAGGGAGAGGCGAGCGAGAGGCAGGGAGAGGCGAGCGAGAGGCAGGGAGAGGCGAGCGAGAGGCGGGGAGAGGCGAGCGAGAGGCGGGGAGAGGCGAGCGAGAGGCGGGGAGAGGCGAGCGAGAGGCGGGGAGAGGCGAGCGAGAGGCAGGGAGAGGCGAGAGCGAGGCGGGGAGAGGCGAGCTCCGGGGTTTGAGAACTCAGACTGGGTGAGTGACATGCGGAAGTACCGCTGAAAGCGAAACTCCTCCGTGCGCAGCTCCTGGAGTAAATGACGGAACTCTGCAAACACTGCAGCCTCTCAAGTCTGTGGTGAACCCAGAACATGTTTTGTTGAAGCCCTACAACAACGTTATTTTGCTTTATATAACAAATAAAGGCTCGCTGCTCATTGAAAAATCCACCGCTGTCCTGACTACAGGCAACAGAGAAGCTCCTCCCACCGGCGTCAGGCGTGTCACTCGCGTCAAAAGCTTCAAGCACCAAAATGACAAAACTATCCCGGCGTCAGTTGAAGCGCGTCAAAAGCTTTTTGAAGCTTTTGGTCTGAACGCGCCTTGACCCTCCACATGCTCCCTATCAACTCTAGAGACATTTACTGCTCAAACTGGCTCCAAATGAAGCCTGTCCCTGACTATATTCCTCCATGCCTGCTTCGCCTCTGTCTCTCCTGCTCAGAGTGCTCAGACAGTGATCTTTGACCAAGACACCCACAGAGCTCTGCTGCCAAACCCCAGACATATGATACAGGGGACACAGACTGACAGGAAAAGAGTGAAAAACAATATTTTTTTAATTAACATTTTAATATTTTTAAATTTATGGCAGTCACTGAGTTAAGGATAATGAAGTCAAAACAGGGGTGTGCCTCTTAACGCAATAAAAATAAAAAACAGCAACTCATTTGCCAGAGCATTGGCTTTTGAGCCTGTGAGACCCTCTCCACAGACTCCCACTGATGTCTGAAAGTGTGTCCTTAGGCAGGACGCTTAACCCAACTTTGCCTGAAGCCCCTAAGGCAAGATCAAGACTGTCGTCACCGAAAGAGAAGCCATACTCCTGTGGACTCGCCACCTGCAGGAGGATCATTCAATGGCTGGTGCTCTGTGATTAGGTGGCAGCTGATTGCCACCCCCCAACCCAGAAATGGGCAAAGGGGAAGAAAATGAATGGGTTAAAATGTATAACAATGGCTCTGTTCATAGTAGTCTGAGGATTTGTTGATTATTATTATTATTGACAAGTTATTATTGACAAGTTTGAGAGAAAAGCATTCACATGTGTTTGTGCCAATGTGGGGCAGAAGTTCCTCATCTTACAGCTATGTGGGGGAAAATGAAAACAACTCCAGGTCTGTTTTTTTAATGGTGGAACCATTTACATCTTAACAGGTTTGCTTAATATGTGTAATTTAATAAAATAAAATAGCAATGTATCCCTATCCACTGCAGTTGGTTACCTGGCTGCGACGTCTGCAGGGGCTACGGGCACCACCAGCAGCACAAATGGAGATGGGTCCTTACACACTGCAGTGTCCTCCAGGAGGAAGCGATAGTCCCGGGGGTAGGCCACATGGTAAGGGCCTGGGTCCTCCCACACGCTGGCTACAGGGGCCGGAGTTGAGATCTGCCTGTAAGGAGGAGGGTAGAACTGACTGTCCCGACTCAGTTCCATGTTTGAGATGACCAGGAAGTATGCCAGAACCAGCACCACTACCAGCACCACGCCAACGGTGTTCCTGCCGGGCTCCATCCAGCCTGCCACACACACACACACATTCACGTCTACTTGTGAAAATATTTCATCACTAGCCCCAATGTAGCAATATTATATGACTGACTGGTCTGGCAAAGAAATTTGCTAAAAAAAACTAAAATACATGTAAGTAAGTAGGCACCTTTACTTCAGTATGTGCGTCTCAATTAAAAGATCTACATTACAAGCACATAATGCCTTGCGAAAGTATTCGGCCCCCTTGAACCTTTCGCCACATTTCAAGCTTCAAACATAAAGATATAAATTTTTTTTTTTTTGTCAAGAATCAACAAGTGGGAAACAATCGTGAAGTGGAACGAAATTTATTGGATAATTTAAACTTTAACAAATAAAAAACTGAAAAGTGGGAAGTGCAATATTATTCGGCCCCCTTGCGCTAACACTTTGTAGCGCCACCTTTTGCTGCAATTACAGCTGCAAGTCGCTTGGGGTATGGCTCTATCAGTTTTGCACATCAAGAGACTGGAATTCTTGCCCATTCTTCCTTGCAAAACAGCTCGAGCTCAGTGAGGTTGGATGGAGAGCGTTTGTGAACAGCAGTCTTCAGCTCTTTCCACAGATTCTCGATTGGATTCAGGTCTGGACTTTGACTTGGCCATTCTAACACCTGGATACGTCTATTTGTGAACCATTCCATTGTAGATTTGGCTTTATGTTTTGGATCATTGTCCTGTTGGAAGATAAATCTCCGTCCCAGTCTCAGGTCTTTTGCAGACTCCAACAGGTTTTCTTCCAGAACGGTCCTGTATTTGGCTCCATCCATCTTCCCATCAATTTTAGCCATCTTCCCTGTCCCTGCTGAAGAAAAGCAGGCCCAAACCATGATGCTGCCACCACCATGTTTGACAGTGGGGATGGTGTGTTCAGGGTGATGAGCTGTGTTGCTTTTACGCCAAACATATCGTTTTGCATTGTGGCCAAAAAGTTCGATTTTGGTTTCATCTGACCAGAGCACCTTCTTCCACATGTTTGGTGTGTCTCCCAGGTGGCTTGTGGCAAACTTTAAACAAGACTTTTTATGGATATCTTTGAGAAATGGCTTTCTTCTTGCCACTCTTCCATAAAGGCCAGATTTGTGCAGTGCACGACTGATTGTTGTCCTATGGACAGACTCTCCCACCTCAGCTGCAGTTATCTGCAGTTCATCCAGAGTGATCATGGGCCTCTTGGCTGCATCTCTGATCAGTCTTCTCCTTGTTTGAGATGAAAGTTTGGAGGGACGGCCGGGTCTTGGTAGATTTGCAGTGGTCTGATACTCCTTCCATTTCAATATAACTGCTTGCACAGTGCTCCTTGAGATGTTTAAAGCTTGGGAAATCTTTTTGTATCCAAATCCAGCTTTAAACTTCTCCACAACAGTATCTCGGACCTGCCTGGTGTGTTCCTTTGTCTTCATGGTTCTCTCTGCGCTTTAAACAGAACCCTGAGACTATCAAAGAGCAGGTGCATTTATACGGAGACTTGATTACACACAAGTGCATTCTATTTATCATCATCAGTCATTTAGGACAACATTGGATCATTCAAAGATCCTCACTGAACTTCTGGAGTGAGTTTGCTGCACTGAAAGTAAAGGGGCCGAATAATATTGCACGCCCCACTTTTCAGTTTATTTGTTAAAAAAGTGTAAATTATCCAATAAATTTCGTTCCACTTCACGATTGTGTCCCACTTGTTGATTCGTGACAAAAAAAATCTAATTTTATATCTTTATGTTTGAAGCCTGAAATGTGTCGAAATGTTGAAAAGTTCAAGGGGGCCGAATACTTTCGCAAGGTACTGTACATATGGTCAATCCTCCAGGACTATCTTGGTACCATGTGTATGTGTGTTAAATATAATGTATTTTGTGCTGTGGTACTTTCACATCTCAGGGTGGCTACACTGAATTGATTAGACTTTTAAAAACATTGTGTTGGTCACTTGACTTGTAATCACTGTGTGTGATACACAGGTGTGTAGCCAACTTGATTAAACATCTGATGAAGTTTGGTTTCACCAGAAACTTCACATCTTGTGGTGCAAATTAAAATCTCTTGGGAGCGAAAGCTCTGCAGAGTCATCTCCATTTTTTTATTTTACCATTTTCGACTTTTTGCGAGCTACTCAGACTTGGATGTGCGCATCCACCTCACTCTTGCTTTAATTAGAATTGACCACATTTCTGTTGCCTTCCATCCCTGCTCTTTTGTGATTACAGTTCTGTTCAAAGACCCCAGCTGAGCTCCTCAACAGTTCTATCTCCTCCTTCAGTCTGAGGACCAAAACAAACGTGTGAAAACAGCAGAGGTCCGGACCAAAGGCCCCTCACAACTCGAGCCCTTTCCCTTCACAAGACCGCAGAGCCACGCCTGCGGACAGTGTGGGACAAGGAACAGGTGTCTGAACCTCAGAGACTGAATGTTTGGATTGTGTTGAAGAGTTTTCTGCTAAAGACCACAATGAGACGAGACCAGGCCACAGCAGAAAGAACCATCAGGCCAAAATACAGGATACGTGCAGTAAAGTAAAATAAATAAAAATTACACAAATCTAGACAATTTCATACAAAAATATATAATAATAATTCATTAAACCACAATAATCATTTAGGCAGTATACAACATAGATCACAAAATGAATCACGTCTTTGTTGGAGCTACATATTTGGGCTGAAACTAGTCGCCCGAGTGCTTCATGCAACCCTGGTAAAGTTGCCACACCTGTGAAACCAGTCTGCACACTTGACCCACACCCAACAGACAAAGAATGAAAACTAGAAATGGTACAATGGCTGAAGCCATTGTGAGTGGCTGCATAGATGTTGGAAGGGTTAGGGATGAAGAAGGAAGAAGAAGAAAGAAAAGGGAAGAAGAGGAAAGAAGGAAGAGGAGGAGGAAGAAGAAGGGGAAGAAGGGGAAGAAGAAGAAGAAGGGGAAGAGGAGGAAGGGGAAGAAGAGGAAGAAGGGGAAGAAGAGGAAGAAGAGGAAGAAGTGAAGAAGATGAAGTAAGAAGAATGTGTTGTAAGGGGCTGAAAGTGTTGTAAGATGTTGTAATGTATTGTATCTGTGGTGATGAATTGTTAGTGTGGTAATGTGTTGTATGGGGAGTAATCTGTTGTACTGGTCCAATGTAAGTCAATGGGAAAAAGTGCTTGAACTTTTGTGTTATATCTGAAAAAGTGCTAAAGGTGGAAGTGTGAAAAGTAATAGCAATAATGAGACGGTGAAGCCGGTCGTAACGATGTATAATTTGTTGAATTTGGTAAAAGCGTTGAAGAGTTGAAAAGTGACAAAATCTGGCAGAAGTGGAAGAAGAAGAAGAAGAATAAACAGTAGGAGAGCATATAGTGGCTGCATAGTCTATGCAGCCACTCAAATATGTTTTCCTCAGAATTTCAGCAGAAACACTTCAGTGTACTTTTGTCAATGTGTTTAAAAATAAATTATAAATGTAAAATATGACCTAATATTAACCAACCAACATCCAGAACACCAATATTTTTACAATCAATTCTAAATGAGTAGATCCAACTGTTAGAGGGGGTCTTCAATTTATTAGAGTAAATGAAAAAAAACAAATTAATTTGCTTTAATCCTTTGATATAAAAAATCAAATGAAACTGCAGTGGACACATATATTATAGTTGGTGGTGTGACATTTGATTGGCAAAAAGATTGGAGAACTTATGCAAACCCCAATTTTCAGTTTTTGATTGATGAAAAGGATTAATAAATCATGTAAACGTATCTGAGTGGAGCTTGCATGTTCTCGCTGCGCCTGCGTCGATTTCCTCCAACATTTCCCCAACCACTTCCTCTAACTGCATGTATGTTTACAGTGACTGTGTTTAAGAGAGTCAAATTAGCCCAAGCCTACAAACCAGAAAGGTGTTCAAATGTTTGCTCACTTTCTCAAACTATTAATGATTAAGAATTCAAACCTTATGAAAAGCTGTAAAGAGAACGGTACGTGCTAGCATGCTGACCACAAAGCTCAGCTCAAAGTTTACTTTAGAAATTAGTGACAGCTCAGTACAGACTCTTGCGGTATCATCTGTGGCTGTCTTGTGTTTGCAAAGCAGACACCATGTTCTCACAAACACCGGATACAAGTACATAATACAGCAGCCCATGAGCAAGGCAGTTACTGCATTTGACAAGAGGACTCTGAGAAGCACAGGGACTGACCTCCTGCGGGTACCTAGGGTCAGAACTAAACATGAGGCAGCATTTCAGATGCTTGCAGCTAAAATCTGGAAGAGTCTTTCTGAAAATGAGACAGGCTTCTTATCTGACAATGTCCAAGTCCAAGTATTTTATGTTTACTCTTTTGAATGTACTGTGATTACTTATGATTCTAATGACTTGTGTGGCTGTTTCTATCTTGTTTTGTTCAGCACTTTGAGTTGCCTTGTGCATGAACTAGGGCTTTGACTTTTGCACAAAAAACATTCGAAGTTTGTTTATTAATTAAAATATTTCAAATATATTTGAATATATAATCATACTTTATTATACAGCTCCTCACAGCAGCAGCAGAACACTCCATTTATTTGAATCTAATTTCGATATTTGTTTTCTTGATAACAGACTCTCAAACCAATAATGACTGCTGCCCTTTGGCAACGCACTCTGTGCTTGTAATTCAAGTGTGTAAAATACTAAGATTACTCTGGACAGTAATTTGTACACTTCGTCACAACAGGCTAAGCCTCTGTCTGTGTGAGAGAAGCTATCGGAGCTAGCCACGCTCATTAAACATGAATAACAATCAACACATTTAAATGTTAATCGAGGAATACATCATACATATAGTTTCTTAATATAAATGCAGGGAGGTTTTCAGAATGATCTTTTAACGTTTTCATGACAAAAATACAGTTTTAAAGTGACAAAAAGCGATTGCGCTAAACCCGGAAGTAACTATTAACATTAGTAGAACATTTTAGGACACATTTGCAGAGGATCTGGTTATGGCTTTAGGGTAAGTTCATACACTTGGGTCACTCAGTGCTGTTGTACCACCACCTTGTTGACGTTACTGCTGAGACATCAAAGTAGCTTTCTTCCCATAAACGTCAGAAACAATAGCAGTAGCTTATCCAAAGTCACTGCAGATGAGGTTCCGAATGAGGTCTTGGGACTGTGGTCTTTGGCTCTGTTTTGATCTAACTGGGAACTTTATTTAAATTTTAATCCAGCCGTAGTAAATTCAATCAGACTAAACTGACTTTAAACGCATAGTCCTCCAGAGAGTTCTAGTTAGTTAGCTAGCCTAGCTGTTGCCAGTCTAGCCACGTCAGGGGGAAACCTCTGGGAACCTATTATATAATTATATATTATTTATATATTATATATATATATATTATATAAAATATTATAAAAAAGATAATGCCCATAACAGACTCAGATATTAAGGGATGTCTAATATTTGTTCAAATATATATTTAATATTCAAATTACATTCGAATTATATTAAAATATCAAACTTTGAAGTCAATGTCCTAGTATGAACAGTGTTATACAAATAAACTTGCCTGCCTTGCCCATATCAGCAACTGGGATAGCACATGAGAGCTGAGAGCTTCACGAGGCTCCTGACGCTGCTCTGTCCACTGCACTGCGTAACTTAAAACTGAAGTCGATCTTGGCTCACTGGTTTCTGGAAAAGTAGAACATGTCTATGTTTGTGATAAATATATCATTCCAATCATCAAGAAGCTTTAATGACATTATCTTGAACTGTAAATGAAAAATTGGATGTCTCGCAAAAAAACAGCTAATAATTCCATAACTTTTTAACAAAGCATATGCGATCCATATTCTCTGAAATGAATGATTCCAGGATGTAATGTATATTTGTGCGTTTAAACGGACAGTCTGCAGATTTTAGTTTTAAGAAGCATTACACAACTTCCCAGGTGGGGTACACTTTTTGCTTGGTTTGTTTAGGAACGAAGCTCCAACTATACTAGAGGCAAACACATCCTTTCACACGTGGCTAAGGTGCAGGTTATGTCTGCAACAGATATTTTTATGAGCAGCACAAACACCTTACTTCCAAGTTTACCACAGTTAAAATATAGAAAATATATCTCCAATGCACCAAGCAGGCGTCAAATCTATCAGTGAAATGGAACAAGGTACATTTAAAGCTGGGGTACCACACAGAAATCCCTACTAATCTAATACAATCCTTATAACTAGTTTCTAGCCCTCAAAACGTTCTGGTTTGTTCTCTAGTTTTTCACATTCATGTAAGTTTGCCCTCTGTCACATCTTTATCAGAAAAGAGAACCAGTCCACACTCAGCCAATCAATTTCACCAAGTAAGAGATCAAATGTGTTCTCATAAAGATAGAGGCTGACTGATTTGTTACTGAAACAAGGTTTTTTGTTTCTGTTGGGACAAACATGTGTTTATTAAAACAAGAAAGTTAGGTACACCAGCTTTAATATTTTATATGCATTGGGCAAGTGTTTTCAAAGAGTGACAGTAATTGAATGTATGTACAATGACCCCATAGGTGTAAAGGATCATAAAACATAGGATAGATTATTTCCATGCGGGAGTTTGAGCAGTTTATTACTTTGGACTTCATACCTATGTTTACAAGGAAATCTACTCAGACCCAAAATGGCCGCGATGTCTCTTTTACATCTTATCCCAATGTGCTTTGTTAACCTTTGGTATAGAACGGCTTTGACACAGTTCCTGGGTCAATGCAGCCTCCTGGGAGTTTACTCACACATGATAAAAAATATTGTAAAATGTATGCACTTGTGTAAGACTACTGAGAACAGACCACAGGGAAGCCACCGCCACCCACGCACACTTACCTGCGGCTGTGATCACACATGAGGCCCCTGAGTCTCACACGGCCCCTATGTCTGCGCTGGCCGCTTCCCTGCACTCTCTCTCGGGCTGTAGAAGAGGTCCATGCGCGGACAGCTGCTCCAACCTGAGCACACGAAACAAACAGATGGAGCAACTAATATCACCTTCACAGAGGCCCCACCCTGTCCTGCCTTTACCACTGGCTGGGAGGCGCTAGAGAGAGCGCGGGGTGTGGGCATGGCGGCCATCTTGCGTATTGACAAAGTGCAGCATTCCCATAGCGAGTCAGGTGGCAGCGGTGTAAAGCACTATTTAGTACATGTAAATATATTAGGGTTGGAAAGTAACTATGTATTTTACTTAAAGCCAGGCTACCTAACGGTTTTAACATTTTATAATCAAGTAAAAAACGACTCAGGCAGTGTCTTCGTTGACGGAGCAGCCATCTCCTGCGGATCCACCACCTGCCGGAGGATCAGTGAAGGGCCGGTGCTATGAGCATTGGGTGGCAGCTCTAATTGCCACCCCCTTCACCCAGAAATTGACTAAAAAAGAAGGAATTAATGAATAATTGATACATGTTGTGTACAGAGATGGGGATTTGCGACTTGACTTGGACTCACTCGTCCCTCAAGAACTTGTGATTTTGGGACTTGCAAGTCTCTATGACATTACTTCTCCAAATATAATCTGTTGTTATTATAATAGATCCATGGTTACCCACATTTGTTAAACTCTGAAACTGGAGGCAAGAGATGTGACCAGACTCACCTGAGAAAAGTATACATACTCAGTATCTTTTAGGGTTATTTGAAGCATCAAACTCACCTAGAATAGATAGAAGTGCTCAACGCTCGACCAAGATGCCTTTAAAGCATATGGGAGGAGTTTCCTGAATTTTAGGAAAGAACTGCCCTACTCACAGGGAACTTCTATTAAAACTTGTCTTACATATGACCAGAATTATTGACATTTAGGAGAACCAATATTCTAGAAGATCATGGGTGTCAAAGTCAAGGCCCAGGGGTGAGCTGCGGCTTGAAAATGACTTTTCTTGGCCCCCGGGATGATATTTGATTAGCATAGAACCGGCCCACACAGAACCATAGGAAAATATTATATATTTAATGTTCAGGACATATGTTTTCTGCTTGAAGGAAGTTTGCTTTTGTCTGTGAGCCTGTTGAAAAATATTTTCACTTGAAATTACTGACAGAGCCATACAAAAATATTGGGTTATTAATTCAATCATTAAATAAAATTCGATCCACTGTGTTAGGTGCTGGTTCAATAGGTTATATGCATGATTTTGAAATGTTTTAATAAACATTGAACCATTCCGGCCCTTGACTTTGTTTTTTGGCCCTCTGATTTATTTGACTTTGACACTCCACCCAAAAAAAGTAAATACTCCCATATACATGTATATATTTAAGTAAGAGTTTAATTAAATACTTTATCCAAACAGTAGTCTGTAAAAGTAACAATTTGTGAACAAAACACTCTGTCTTTTTAATTTCCAGCCCTGATTTTCCACATTTCCAAAATCAGGCCAGAGTTGACAGTAGCCAACCGCATACAAAATGACTGCCAGTGAGTCAATTCTATAGGTTGTTGTGTTGAAAGACACTGGTTGAGAGCATAGACTGTAAAGCCTGGTTCACACGGCAGGATATTTAGGCCGATTTACCCCTTACGACAATCTTAAGAAACGCTCCGATTTCCGTAACAAAATCTTACAGATTATCCTGCCGTGTGTGGTGTGTTAAGACTGCACTCGTCGCTCGGAAGGACATCGGGACTGCTCCCGATCTCAAATCGGGGATATCCAACATGTTGGATTGTTTTGGCCCGATTTCTTGTCGTGTGTGGTGTCCTCCGAGGACAAGCGAGCGCGTTGCCATGACTACGGCGTGTAGCCAATAAGAAGACGAGGTGACAAGCCGGTGAGGAAACACCGGAAAAAAAACCAAAACAGAGCAGCATGGCTTTGACCATTGCCTTTTCTTTGGATTACGTGTCTTCTCTGTTAACAACAAACTGCACACTATCGCCACTGCATCCTCTTCGTCCGCCATGACTGTTTACTCTGAAGTCACGCTTGATCTCGAGAGATTTTGTGAGATTTCCGTCTGACCTGGGAATGCTCGGGGGGGGGGGGTGTCGGTTCGTGTGTGATGTTTGTGGCTTGCGTGATCTTGCCGTGTGGCTACGCACCACACACTGCACGACCAAAGTGGTTAGACGCAGGATTTTTAATCTCCCCGTGTGGGGTCTAACACGGAGAAAAATCGGCCGACAATTTTAAAATCGTCTCGTGTGAACCAGGCTTAACGTTGAGAGATGTAATCACATTGTTTACATGTTTCAGAGGTCCAGCGTCAGAACTGCAGGTGCTGCGGAATCAAGACAAACCTGAACAAGGACTGATGCACAGGACATATTTATTTGAACAAATGTTGCTATATGGCAGCGACAGATTCTATTTGCAGTGAAGAGAGCTCGTCAGCGCCTACATCACCTGCGGCAGAAGACTTTTACACCTGAACCACTGAAAGCATCCTAGCATCAGTGGCCCTCAAGAGGGTGGCCCACAGGAGAGTGGCCCACAGGAGAGTGGCCCACAGGAGAGTGGCCCACAGGAGAGTGGCCCACAGGAGAGTGGCCCTCAGGAGAGAGGCCCTCGGGACAGTGGTCCGCTCCACACTGGCAGTGAGAACCATCAGGATGCACCTCCCTCGACTGGAGGCCACTCACATTCATCAATACACCGGAGAGCCCAGAAGGTTTACAACAGCGCCTCCTCTGGGAGACAATTGTATCTCCTCAATCAGCCACATACAAAAATATAAAAGTAGGCAAAAGTGACAATACTGTATGTATTAAAAACATTGGTATAATTTGAGTCCTTCCTGTGCTTACTTTTTGTTTTAATGTTCCTTTATATTTTATTAAAATTGTTTTTATCTCTTTATTCTTCTTTTATTACTTGAGTTGTGTTATTAGTTCAGTCGTGTTATCTGTGATGATGTTGAGATCGTCAAAGATGTTTTCTTTTGAATGCACTGGAAAACGGCAGCAAGTCCTAAGTAGCTCTGAAACAGTTGTCGTTTTGTGCTTTCCTGAGATGTTGCTGAAGTACAGTGTTCATGGTTTTGCACTGGTCCAGACCAGAGCAGAGAAAATCCACTGAAGGAATGCTAAAAATGCTAATGAAGCATTTAGCATTTTACTTTGGACTAGAGCAAAGAAAATGGTCCGAACCAAGCGGCTACTCCACCTTTTGACCTGCCCTGCTCCACCCAGAGGCTACTCTATCTGTGCTGCACTGACCCGTCCTGCTCCACCCAGAGGCTACTCCACCTCTGCTGCTGTGACCTAAAGCCTAGCGTACATCGACAGAGAAACTGGGGACAACTAGTTGCAAGGCGGCTTTTGGCAACTGAGAGGAGATGATCAGTTGCCGAAATCGGTCGATGTGCGCGCTCTTACAACTGGAGATGATCAGTCGGTCTCCAGTTCCAGTCAGTTGCCCGTGTTCTACTTTTCGGCAACTAGTTGTCCTCAGTTGCCCCGAAGTGCGCGCTCCATGCGCCGCTCCAACAACGTGTGTGTATTGCGTGTATTGCGAGCCTGCAACAGTTTATGTCAGAAAACACACTGTGGTTGAGGCCAGTTGCTGTCGATGTACGCGCTGTTATTCAAGAGACTGGCCTGCGACTCAGAGTTGCCCGTTTTCGCCAGATTGTCGATGTGTGCGGGGCAGCAACTCAGAGGCGACGGATATAATCAGTTGCCAGTCCGATGTACGCTAGGCTTAAAGGGCTGTTGCTAATCATTACTATTGTTATCTTTTTAGAATGATCAATATTTTTTATTTATTTTTTGCTGCTACTGGACACCTGAATTTCTCCTACGGGGATCAATAAGGTATCTATCTATCTATTGAGTATAATAATGAAAAATTAAACGGAATCATCGCTCACCACCACATGTCATATGAGAACATATATCCACCACAGGGTTAAAATGTTTCTCCTCCTCTTAGTCAAATCTGGGACAAAGCCTCCTCTCTTCACTTGCTGTGTATACAGGGTTTAAACCTGTCAGGGCAGCATTAGTGCTGTTGTTTAGGTTGTTTTCATTAGCGAGGGAGGGGTGTGTGTATTTTGATTGCTTACACTGGACAATAGTCTCCAGGTGAATATGAGAGTGTCATGGTTTAGATTAATTTCCTGTTTTATTTTGTAATTTGATTAACCCTGTGTCTTCTTTAGTTGTACTTACTGTGTCCTGATTACCTGCCCTGCCCTCGTGTCCCTGTTCCGTTTCAGAACCAGTACTTTCAGCAAAAGTAAGAAGGATTATAACAAATGGCAAAGAGGGAGTATTGGTGAAATTTTTGCAGCACTAAGGGAAGGGAAACTAAGATTGACAGGGTTTGTACAATGATTAAGAGATTGGATGGTATTAAGTAGTGATGAGTAAATGAAACCTCACGTACTTTATTGATACTGTAGCACTAGCACAACAGCGCGGCTTGTGCTGCTCCATATGGGGTGCAGATTGTAAAAATTCTGTTAAAATTTTTTAGCTGAACATTTTTCAACATTTAGCTCACTTTCCTCACATTTAGCGCATTTTCCTCACATTTAAGACAGACATTCATGTAAAACAACACGTTATATGTAGTTGTCAAATCATGTTAAATATTATATATATGTTTATATCTAAATCTAAATGTGAAATGTTATATCTAAATATTATATCTATATCTAAATGTTAAATGTTATATCTAAATATTATATCTATATCTAAATGTTAAATGTTATATCTAAATGTTATATCTATATCTAAATGTTATATCTATATCTAAATGTTAAATGTTATATCTAAATGTTATATCTATATCTAAATGTTATATCTAAATATATCTATATCTAAATGTTAAATGTTATATCTAAATGTTATATATATATCTAAATGTTAAATATTATATCTAAATGTTATATCTATATCTAAATGTTATATCTAAATGTTAAATCTAAATGTTATATCTATATCTAAATGTTATATCTATATCTAAATGTTATATCTAAATATTATATCTATATCTAAATGTTAAATGTTATATCTAAATATTATATCTATATCTAAATGTTATATCTATATCTAAATGTTAAATCTAAATGTTAAATCTAAATGTTATATCTAAATGTGTCGCCAAGTGTAAAGCTAAATATATAGA